CCCCCCCAGCACCCTCCCACCCACCCAGCCCTCCAGCTGCAGGGGAACCAGGGTCTCTGGCCAGGAGAGACTGAACAGACAGCCCAGCCCCCTGCACCAGCCTGACCACACTGCCGCCCCAAGGATGGGAAGAGTGGGAGGGGCACTAGATCCCCAAGGGCAGGCCCAGGCTGGCTGCTGCACCAGCTTTCCACTCCCTGACCTCCCAGCTAGGACACGCCACCCACATCCCTGGGGCAGAGTGATGCCATCTCAGCTGGAAGGGTCCCATCCCCGCCCATGTGCCAGCTCCTCCAGCTCTCCTGGCCCAGCTGTGCTCCTGTCTCCTGCTGCTCAGCCCAGCCCCTCCTCCACCCCCGCACCCATGGCCTGGCGAGGGCCCTGTCCCATGGGAGCCAGGCAGTCACTGGCTCTGGAGTAGCTGGCTGTGCCAGGGAACAGCTTGGTTTGTGCTGGGACCACACAACCACGGCCTCCTGGGCATGGAGCTGGGACAGACAGGGTCTCACCGGGAGCCCACCCAGACTCCTTGGCTCCCTGCTGTGCTGTTGCCTGAGAGCCCAAAATCCCCCAGCCCCATCAACTGTCCCTTTAATTTTTCCATCCATGTGCAGAATAAATTTTGTTATGTGCACCAAGGCACGTGCACCACCAGTAGAAACCTGCTGGCAGCTGTGGGTGCTCTGCTAATCAGCCAGACAGCATTTGACTCTCTCCTGAGTGGCCACCAAGTGCTCAGCTTACAGGAACAGTGACCCCACTGGGGATGTGAATGGATAACCCGTTAGCATCACCCTTGCTGGGGGCCCGCTCCAGCCCCCAGGGGCCCGCTCCTCTCTGCTCCAGCCCACCATTTAAGCACTTCTCCAGTTAAACAGATTCAATGGGATTTTACATCCCTACCCGCCGCCCCCTCAGAACAGTGCTCAGAACCCCCCCTCCCCCGGCCACACCCCACCCCGCCCATCTTTGCCATTTCTCACCCCCCTTGTCACCCCACCACACCATTAACCCCTGCAGTGCCAGCCCACTCCCACTCCCACGCAGTTCACCCTGGCAGGCGTCACTAACTAGACACCTCCCATCCCAATGTCACCTGCCTCCCCAGCATGGCCCCAACCCCTCCCAGCGCACAGCGTCTGAGCACAGACATGGCGCAATGCTGCGGACTGGCTGAGATGGAACCCACACCCCACCCGGCCCATCTTCGGGAGAATCTCCACTGGCAGTGTGAGGGCTAGGACATTACTGGACTGTTTCAGCCCTGCCGCTGCCAGCGGAGCTACTGCCCCAGCCACCACTAGGTAAGCTCCACCAAAACCCCAGCAGCAAGCTCTCCCAGGAGAGGCGGAGACCCCCGGCCCTGCACTTGCCTAGCTCCCACTCTGCTCCTGGGGGAGGAGGGGAGAGGAGCAGGCAGTGCTCCCAACTGCTGCTCCCCATACCGGGTGCTGCCACCTTGGAGCTCAACGTGGGAGGGCCATGAGCCGAGTTCCCCAGGCCCTGAAGGTGCCGGCAGAGGGGAGCCCTGCCCCCCCAGCCCTAGCACCGAGCTGCTGGGGCAAGGGATCCCTCCTCTCTGGCCCCTGCAGGGAGCAGCCCAGGTAAGCCGAGTCCAACCCCCAGCTGTGAGCACCCCAGCCCAGAGCCCTTCCCCACACCCCCAACCCCTGCACCTCAAACCCCTCATCCCCAGCCCCACTCCAGAGCCCAGAGCCCAGCTACAGCTTTTGCACCACAGCCCGGGGTCTCCTTCCGCATTCAGAACCCCTTGGCCCCACTCCCGCCACGTGAATTTTGTTGCATGTGCCAACAGGAAGGTGACGGGCCATGCCTCCCCGCCACAGTGGGCACATGACACTCATTCTACCAAGGGATGGGAAAAGTTACAGGGAACACTGAGAGATCCCAGCCATTGACGGGGGAGCGGGGCTGAAGACACCAAGTTCTTTCCTGCCCTCTCCCCGCCCCCGTCCTCGACACAGGACCTAGCCAGCACCCTCCTACCCAGTGGGCAGGACAGGGGGCACTGGCAGCCAACCTTCCCCAGAGTCCCAGAGCTGCTAGGAAGAATCCCTTTGCATCAGCCTGATCTGGGGCACTTTGGGGTGCCCCCTTGCTGGCCTCAGAGCCTTGGCCCTGAGGGGCTCCTGTCTGGAACCTCTGCCCTCCCTGCCATGAGCACTCCTAGGGCAGGCACCTCCTGGCGCCCCCACACCAAGCTGGGGTGCTCACACGCCTCCTGCAACATGATCCCCAGGCAGGAGCAATTTCAGGGGAAGGGAAACCGGCCAGGCTGGCTGCTCCTGGCCCTGGGCCCAGCCCCGGCAGAGCTGGTGTCAGCCCACGGCCCCATACTAGGCACTCGCAGGACAGAGCCTGGGGCGCCTCCCTGGGGGTGCAGTTCCCAGGGAGCCAGCACCACAAGCCCCATCCCCGTCCAGGGGGCGGCTGGCTGGAGTGCAGCAGGGAGGGGGCTCGCCACGGCAGAGAATCCAGACAGCCCAGTGTCCCACGAGGCCGTGGTCACCCTGCCAGAGGTGGCTACCGGGGGAGGGGAGCAAGCTGGGTGCAGACTCGCCCACGGGAGGGAACGGGACTGACCAGCCACCCAAATAAGGCCTCTGCTCCCGTCTGCATCGGCACGTTGTTCTGAGCGGGGCAGCCTGGGAGCCAGGACTCCGGGGTCCCTCTGGCAGGGAAGTGCAAACCAATGGGCCGGAGCAGAGGGCTGGGAGCCAGGACTCCGGGGTCCTCTCCCCTCTGCCCTGCCAGGCTCATTAATGAGCTTCCACTTACGTCCAAGGCGCCACAACCGGACCCCTGTCCCCTCTCCCTCCCGCAAACCCAAAGGGGCAGGAGAAGAGGGGCCCTCCTGACTCTGTTTTCTATGCAGAACGGACGTGAAACATGAGATTTGCACACCAGATCCTCCCCCCACGGGGGGGGGGAGCATTCCTGAGCGGGGAGAGGGCCCCCCACCTCTGGTGAACAGGTGGAGCAGCCCACACAGCTGAGTCAGCATCACCTGATGGAGCAGCTCCTGCGCCACGGAGAAGCCACGCCCCCTGTGGCATCCGGCCCAGACACCCGCCTGCCCCTCCAGCATCCAACGCTGGGAACTGCCAGATCCCAGCACGGGGTGGGGGCGAGTGTGGGTGCAGACAGACACCCCAGCTCCCCAGGCGCAGTTACGTGGCCCCGGCTTAGCAGGGCTGAGCCCCACTGAGCTACACGTCACATGCCCCACAGCTCGAGCTGTGCGCCAGGACTGAGGGGAGGAAAGAGCAGCCCGGGATTAAGGGGCCCTGGCAGAGCTGAGGGGGACCCGGGGCTGGGACAGAGGGAGGCCGTGGGGCTCTCACACTGGTTCCCAGGTAGCTCCTGATGTTTGGGATGGGCAGAGAGGGGAAGGTCCCACTACAAAGCAGCCCCAGGGAGGAAGAACAGGTCTGGGACAGCCACATGGCTACACCCCCAGGCACAGGGGGAGGGAGTGGCAGGGAAAAGCTGGACAGCCCTGGCCATCTCCTGCCCCCCGGATGACTGGCTGATACCAGCCCCCAAGGAGTCAGGGTGAAGCTGCCAACAGCAGAGAAAAAAGGGTCTCTGCCCTGCCCCCTACCACTGGGGCCTTCCTCCACTCTGCCAGAGACAGCTGGGCAGCAGCCACATCCCACCCCAGAGGTGGCTGCCTCCCTGTGCCGGGGGCTCCATGCTGGCGCGACCAGTCCCGTGGAGGAGGCCAGTGAGCTAATCCCACCCTGCTGCCTGAGCTGCTTATCTGGGCAAGGCCACGCAGGGAACACGGCAGCGCTGGGCAGGCGCCAGGCCTCCCGCCCCCCAGGAGCCTGCCCGGCTTTATCTTGGCTAAGCACAGCTGGGAGCCAGCCCCTCCCCCCCCGCCTGCCAGGCGTGCAGATGGGAGCAGCGCACTTTCAGCTGCTCAGAGGGGGAAGCCCAGGGACAGGCCCTGCCCTCACCCCATGCTCCGACCACTGGTTCTGCCACGGGACAAAGGGGCAGGCAGAGCTGCTCTGAGCACTGGGGCCGCAGCCCTGCCCAGCTCCCGGGTGGCAGAGACCGTCTCCCCCCACCCGAGGCCCGGGGTCTGTCACCAAGCCCCAGCACACTGGCTCATCTGCAGTGCCCAGGGCAGGCCAGGCTGCAGCAGGGGCTGGGACCAGTGCACAGTGCCACCCAGCCTCCTCCAGAGAGCCAGGGTCCCAGAACGCCGGAGCAGGAGGAATCCGGAGGGAACGAACGGCCACTGGGCTCCGCGGGCGTGACCTTCAGTCCAGCGCCAGCCAGAGACCCCCCCCAGCCAAGTCCTAGAGCACAGCTCAGACGGGCCCTGACTTCATCTCAGCCTCGCCAGTGCTGGACAGTCCGGCCCAGCCCTCAGCAACCCGCTCCAGCGGATGCCTTATTTCCACGCACTACGCCTGGCTTCCGCTCCCAGCCATGTCCCACCTTTGCTAGGCCGAAGAGCCCAAGAGTAAATCGTTTGGCCCCTCTAGGTTCCTCCTGACTAATCAAATCACCCCTTAACCGCCTCTGTGACGCTCCCTGTTGTGACAGGCCCAAAGAGCTCAGGCTGAGGCAGGTTTCTGGTCCCTTTATCATGGAGATCGAGCGGCAGGGACACAGCCCCCAGTGGCTGGCATCAGGGCTCCGGGTCCCAGAACGCCGGAGCAGGAGGAATCCGGAGGGAACGAACGGCCACTGGGCTCGGCGGGCGCGGATGCCTTCCTTCCAGGCACTGCTCCTGGCTTCCGCTCCCAGCCATGTCCCACCTTTGCTAGGCCGAAGAGCCCAAGAGTAAATCGTTTGGCCCCTCTAGGTTCCTCCTGACTAATCAAATCACCCCTTAACCGCCTCTGTGACGCTCCCTGTTGTGACAGGCCCAAAGAGCTCAGGCTGAGGCAGGTTTCTGGTCCCTTTATCATGGAGATCGAGCGCCAAGTCCTAGAGCACAGCTCAGACGGGCCCTGACTTCATCTCAGCCTCGCCAGTGCTGGACAGTCCGGCCCAGCCCTCAGCAACCCGCTCCAGCGGATGCCTTATTTCCACGCACTACGCCTGGCTTCCGCTCCCAGCCGTCGCGCCGTGTCCGACCCGTGCTAGGCCGAAGAGCCCAAGAGGAAATCGTTTGGCCCCTCTAGGTTCCTCCTGACTAATCAAATCACCCCTTAACCGCCTCTGTGACGCTCCCTGTTGTGACAGGCCCAAAGAGCTCAGGCTGAGGCAGGTTTCTGGTCCCTTTATCATGGAGATCGAGCGGCAGGGACACAGCCCCCAGTGGCTGGCATCAGGGCTCCCTGCAGATCCCCACCAGGCTCACATAGCTGGGAGGAGGCTCCAGAGCCAGAAGGGACCTGCATTGCCCAGGCTCCTGGACCACCTGGCTCGTTTCCCTAAGGGCAGGGCAGAAAGAGCAGGCAGCACCGCCACGGCGCGGGCGAATACACGCCCCCTACTCCCAGGCTGAATGTGGCTCTCTGCAGCCTGTCCCGGAGGCAGGTGAGCCCCTCGGCCAATAGCAATTCCCACGGGGAACAAGTCATCCGTTAACCCGCAAGCAGGACCACAGCCTGGCTCACCCAGTAGCCACGGCATCACCACTGCAGCCAGGCGAGAGCCCTGCTGCCCACCCCACCCTGTCCAGGAGCTGGCGCCGCATGGAGCAGGGCCAGAGAAAGGCCCTGCTCCTAGGGCTGTGAGCACAGCTGACCTACACACTGCCAGGCCCCCGAGAGAGGTGCAGACCCAACTGCATCCATGCCCAGCTGCTGCCTGGTCACAGGGAGACTGACAGCACCTGTGCCCAGGACACACCAGATTCATGATGGGAACACTCAGGCACTCACCTAATCAGGCCCTGGGAACGCGACCGTGTGACGTTCCCGACCAAATCACCCGCACCAGTTCAGCGGTGCCCAGCCAGTAGCCCCCCGCCCGGCCAGGGCCCCCAACGCAGGCAAGGCAGGA